ATAAGGCAACTATCAGAAACACTTATCACATGAAACATTTAGGGAGATATTTATAAATAATTTTGAGAAAGATGAAAAAGGCAGTCAGTAAATTCAAAGTATTATTAAATATTATCAATATTTTAAAGCCAAGATATGGCTCCGTGAAATATATAGGCTTTTTGAAATGTTGAGTTCTACGTAAATTCTTCTTCTTATTATTATTTTGCAACAGAGCCTTACTCCCATTGCCCAGGTTAGGGTGCTGTGGCACAATCATGGCTCACTGCAGCCTCAACTTCCAGGGCTCAGGTGATCCTCCCACCTCAGCATCCCCAGCAGCTGGGACTACATGTACCTGTCACCACACCCAGCTAAATTTTTGTATTTTTAGTAGAGGTGGAGTTTTGCCATGATGCCCAGGATGGTCTTGAACTCAAGGGATTCACCTGCCTCGGTCCCCAAAGTGCAGGGATTACAGGCATGGGCCACTGTGCCTGTAAACTCCTATTCTTAAATGAAGCAGCAGGTCCCTGACTCTACTTACTGTACCATACACCCCACTGCTCAGCTGACAATGCCACCACAGAAAACTGGCCCAGGACCTAACCTGCTCTTCCTTGGGTTTTGTCTGTTGGTAACTACTGTTCCCTTTTCTCTCCACACCTTTTACACTCTGGAATTGTTGTCCTAGACTCAAGCTTTTTGTATTCACGTTGGAGGAAACTTTCAATATCAAGGGATCTCTGTGATGGCAGCAATAAAGTTGAGCAGATTTTTAAAAATTTTCCTTCCTAAAAAGACATTCTTCAAAAACAGTTTTGCATTGATTTTAAAAGGACAGAATATTTGTTCCTGAGAAAGAGCTGGGGCATGTTGTCTTGGAGGTCATCTTAGCATCAAATAGTCTAGACCTTCTCCAGACATTAAAGGCTGCACAGGTCTGTGTAGAACCTCTGGCTGTCCATGGGAGATTCTTAGAGAACTGTCACTTGGAGAAAAGAATGATTATGATTGAAGGACATAAACAAGAAAGGAAGCTATGAACAAATAATCCTGGGGCAAGTGGAGAAAATGACAGCTTGATCTAGGAGCAGCATGGTTCCCACATTTAATTAGGATTCAAGAAAGAAACAATTTACGTTTATCTTTCTTTTCCAAAGCTCCCTACTCTTATATCTCACTGCAGATGAGTAGGATGAATGATGAATGTGTGATAGCAGCAGAGGTTGCTTCAACTGTGGGGCACGATATAACATTATTTTGAGTTAGGCAATTTTACTTTATACCAGGAATATTACTTTATGCACTGTTTTAAATATTTGTTTGAAGAATACTCGAATACAGAATTTCTTTACCCATAATGAATTTGTGTGTGTTTACACAGTTTTTGTGTTTCGCATCAGTGGAAATAAAAGATTGACATTGCTACCCACTCAACCAGGCACTTTCAGACCACAAATCAGGATGAGAAAGGACTGCTAAACGCAAAGAATGCAGAAATAAAGACTACCCATAGGTGGCGCTGTGGTTAAAGTACACCTGAATTTTGATTACAGTGACTGTATTTACTCCCCACCTCTCAGAAGAGAGACTGTTGGCCATTATCGCTTTTGTATTTCTATAAACACACATGAGCAAATAAAGCTCTCTGGTAATACACTCCCATCCACTCCAATCTACCAGGACATGTTTAAAGACCTCACTCCGCACAGAATTAGAGCTGAAGCACTAAAACCACCTTCTAAAATGTAGGCCTTGTAGCCTAGAGCTCTGTTATTCAAAGTTTTATCCATCTCACTCTCCTTCCTTCCACAAAAACTACCGGGATCCTTTGGATAATCACTCAGTGATAGCCGAACATGTGTCTGGTTAAATTTCTAACATTCCCTTCAGGAATTAAGATTTCGTTTTAGTGCATATTCTTCAAGAAAAATACTGAAAAGTACCACAATTCATTATACATCTATGCATATGTGTCCTATCTAAGAAAATCACTTTAAAAAAGAAAAAATAAAGACCATTTGGCTTAATTCTCTCATTCGTGGATGAGAAAATTAAGGCCCAGAAAAGGAAATTTACTTGCACATGACAAATCATAACTTAATTGTAGTCCACTAAGATCTTGTGTCATCTCGCTTTATTATAAATTATTTAAAAAGTGAAAATGAATAAGGGGATTCAAATGTATTATTTGTTTATGGGGTTCCTCTCCTCATCTGGTTTAATTGAGTTTTCTTGACTAACCTTCACGCAGCATTACATCTTTTCTAAGTTGGTCCTCTTTAATCATGCCCACCTGCAGCTGTTTTCTGTGTAGGACATGTTAATTACTATTATAGTTTTAATGACTTTTTTTAAAAAAAGTTTTTTATAGGTGCACAAGGTGAATTGATTGTAACAGTGCAATTTTAAATACAAATCAATAAAATTAATTCATTTAGTTTTAAGACGCTAGAATTAAAAAATGACTATTTGAATTGATATTTAAAATGCCCTCTACCTGATTGTATGAGCAATAATTATTCTTTATGTAGCCTTATTAATTTTGATGGTTTGAAAGACAGAAATCCCCCAAATAGATACTATAGATGTTCAACATCTGCATTGTCTCGAACCTGATTCTCCTTCAGGTTCCTTTCCTCAATCTAGCAGTAATATGAAAACTTGCCCCACAAGGCTGGTTTTACTTAATGATACTTAGCAGAAGGGCTTTGCACTTTCATGATAATTTCCACCACAAAAATCTCTCTGGAACTTACTAACAATAATCAGGCCTAATATTAGCCTCAGTTTGGAGATTTATTAAACTTATTTGGCAGAGTAGATAAAGTCGAACGCCTAGGTATGCAAGCATCTAGGCTGTGCTTCGGCCTTGGAAAAACTCAGGCCAGCACCCTAAAAGCATTCCTCAAAACTTGATTTATACTAGAAGTGACATTTCTTACTCTCTAGAGGCTGTGAGATTGCAAATCTCGCAATTACTTCCATTGCTTTTGGGGGCTGTGAGAATTTCCGCCTCTCATCCTCCACAGTGAGGAGGGTAGTCGGGCAAGGTTTTCTCCCTGAAGTTTTCGTCAACTTTGAAAATAAGGACTGTGCTCCCTACATCACCAGCAATTGACAAGGATCCAAGAAATGCCTGCTAGGCACTTTCACACTCGGGTAAATGGGGGATGAGGGAGGCTAAGTAGGCAGTATTTAGCTAGCAACTATTATTTCCTTTATGTTTCTACCTTGTTAACTAAGCTTCCACTACGGTTCATAAATCTCCAATATCGTGAATTAAAGAAACAACAACAAAAACCCTCTTCTGTGTGCGTGTGCGTGAGGGGATAGAAGTTCACTGCCCTAAGATGCAGGACTTATCTTCCCAAACAGGAAGATACCCATTTCTGAGAAAGATGGTAAGTTTCCTAAGGGTCTCCTCTCAGATCGAGGGGATGGCAGTCCCCGAGGAGCGAGCGGGAGCGGGTCCTCAGGGTCCCCGTGCGCAGAGAAGGCAGGTGAGGCCCCCCCGCCCCACCGGGTCTCGGCTCCGGATCCCGGGTCGCGAAGGTCAGCCCAAGCGGGTCCCCGGCGCCAGGCGCCAAGCGGGTCACTTCTCCCCACCTGATTCGGGCCCTTCCCTTCTCCTCTGTCGGCCCGCTCCGCCGCCTCACTCTCTCCCCCGCCCCCCGAGTCTCGTTTCAGTCATCCCTTTGTCCTTCCCCGGATTGGCAGGTTTTATTATTCCGCCTGAACAATCCGGCCGCCCAGTGGCTGAGGGTCGCTGACGTCGGAGGCAGAGCCGGGGAGTAGTTGGGATTTTGCTCTGTCAGTAACACATGTGTAAGAGCCGCGGAGGGAGCGAGCGAGCCGGCTAGAGGCCAGCGCCGCCGCCGCCGCCGCCGCCGCCGCCTCCTCCGCCTCCGCCTCCGCGCCGGGCAGCAGCAGCCCCGGCAACAGTCCCGGCAGCGGCGTAGGCTCCAGCGCGTCGGGCCCGGCCGGCCGCAGCTCCCGACTCCTGGGCGCGCCTGCCTGCCGGCCTCCGCACCGTCCGCCGCCGCTCCCCGGGTTTCTGTGTCTGCGGCTGCTCCCGGGCGGAGGTGCAGGGAGCTCAGTCGAGCCGCCGCTGCCAGCCCGGAGCGAGCGAGCGAGCTAGCGAGCGCGCGGGAGGGAGGAAGGCGGCGGCGGAGGAGGAGGAGCGGGAGGAGCGCGAGGAGCGCGGGCGGGGGCGGGGGCCGCCGGGCGGGGGAATATACAAAGTGAAGCCACATTGCCAAACTTGCAGCAGCGATTGCAGCAGTTGCTGCCGCTGCACCGCGCCTGAAGCCGCGTCGCGCGGGCCGAGGGCTCCTGCAGCTGCTCGCGCGCAGCCGGAGGCGGAGGAGAAGGACGAAGACTGAGACTGACACTTCTGCTCCCGGCCGCCTGCCACTTACGCGGGGGCCCCCCAACCCGCCCCAGAGCAACGCGATTTAAAAAAAAAAGCCGCCCTTAGCCCCCTCCTCCCCTTTCCTGCTTCTGCGAGAACTCCCTCCCTCCCTCCAGCTCCGCCAGCCCAGGCGCCCCTTCCCTGGAAGCCGAGCGGCTTCGTTCGCATTTCACCGCCGCCGCCTCTTGCAATATTGCAATATAGGGGAAAAGCAGGTAAGGGGGCGGCTGGGGGAGCCGCGGGCCGGGAGGTGGGAGAGAGAGGGAGGGGGCCGATTCGGGCCAGGGCTGTTTTCTTTGGCTTCCTTCCCCTTACCGTCCCAAATTGCAAGTAAACAATACGTCGCCTTAGATAAAGCGCGAGTCTGAAACTACCGAGGCCGGCCTGCGAGCTAGCGCGGAGGGCAGCCCCGGGCCGCCAGCTTTGTAGCGGTTCCTGCTTACAAAAGGGCTCTTCTTGGAAACGGGGCTGGTGGGGACCGTAGAGGGGGTGGGATATTTCTAGTTCATGAGGGAAAGGGCAAGGGGTGCTTAGATGAGGTTTTAAGTATGAGAAGTAGTGTGTTTGGGGGGGTGGGGGTGGGGATAGTCACGATAACCCCCCCCTTCTAGTAAACACTAATTTTGAAACAGTGGCAGGAAGGGTCTAAGTGAGCAGGATTCGGTATTGCTAGTTCTTTTTAAAACCTCTTGGTTTATAAGTCTTTTGTTACAATCCAGGAGAAATACGGTGAATCACCTAATTAAAATCAAGACATGAATTAAGCATCCATTTTTGTACTACAAATTGCCAGCGTTACGTTTGTCCCTCCCTTGGTCTCCATTAAAAAACACCAGAGACGTTGTTAAAGGGGGGCAGATTTTGCCTCTAGCTGCCAGTTCTGCTTTCTATTTCACTGACTATCCCAGGACCTAAATTGCTTGGCTCTGTAATTACTAGAGTATAAGCCTATTTAACTTAAAAGCTTTCTTCTTTTTTTTTTTTTTTTTTCCAACTCTAAATGAAACTTGATGAGGGCCCGTCCTTAGTTATCAGGGGAGTCAGTTTCTGGTCAGTCCTCTTGATTCATCTCTTTTAGATTTAATCAGCATTAAGGTATTGCTTGTCCTTAAGAGCTTTAGCTAATGGGGTTACTGGATGCTTTTCTCAGTGTAATGTTTCCTTTTCAAAAAAAAAAAAATACATATATATTTACCTCTCACTAAAGATGGGGGCGGGGAAGAGCTGGGAATCTCCTCCCTCTCTCCTTTTAAAAAGGAATTCGGAGCGATTAAAACGTTGGGGGAAACAGTTTAAAGACCTAGGGCAGGAAATGCAGATTCATTTGGGTTAGGGCTGAAATTGTAACAAAAAGCAATTCCTCGAGTAAATGCATCAGATAAATCAATTTACATAAAGGTATGATGCATTCGGATAAATGCAATGCTAATGGGTTTTAGAGTGGTCCTGTTTCCAAAGTCTCAGGGTTTTGTTACAGCTTAATTGGTGCAGTTCTTATTCTGGTTTATTGTGCGGTCACTGGACACACGTTCTGGGACTCTTTCGGAGGAAATGTGTTTAAAATCGGCCTATTTAAGGAACCCGAGTCCCTGTTTCGTTCGTTCCTTCCTCGTTTTTTTGCAGCAGCCAAGTTGGGCCGGGGACAGGCAAAGTTCGCCTTCTTCTGAGGTATCAGCTGAATGTCTTGAGCAGATAGCCGGGAGCCTCAGGGGGAGCCCACACTCTCAGCTTACAGAGGACAAAGACAAAACAGGCTGCTTAATTGGCAGTAAATAACTTGATCTTTTTATAGAATAAGTGACTAGAGGAACACTAGGACTTTATTGGACTCGGAATTGAAGGCAACAAATTAATCGGTTTAGGCTAAGCTTTATAAATTGATTCCTATATTATATCCCAGTTGCATCTCTTGTGGCATTCATTAGAGTGGGGAATTCTTTTTTAAAGCAGTTTTTGGTGACAGCAAAACGGGCTCGAATTTAACTTGTGCATCCCTTAATGCTGCCTTCTCGCACGTTATCTGTAACGCCGACCCCCCCCCCCCTTTGGAGGAACAAAGCTTTAGCATTTAAATTGCTGATCAAGGGCAGATTAGTGAGACCAAAGTGGAGAGTGTTTGTATAGGAAGTTAACAGGCATCCTAAAGTTCAATGATCTATTATTCTTGCCTGTGTCCTGAAAACCCAGAGAAAACACTCATTGATCTTCAAAATGAAATGAGATTTGGAACAATAATGGGAGATGGCGGTCACCACAATGGCATGTGAAAGGTGCTGCTTAAAATACGAAAAACCAGTTTCGCAACTTTACACACTGCACCCCCTCTGCCGTCACCTTGCCTTCCCTCCCACCACCACGCTCTCCATCTTCCGTCTGCCGGTCCCTCCCTCCTTCCCTTTCGGAAAACCGAACTATTTCCAACTTGTGAACTCCTGCTGCACTTCCCAGGGCAGAGCCCGGGAGGGAACGAGGCTCCGGCGGGGCCGTCGCCTCACCACTCCCCTCGACTCTGTCCCGGGGCCCGGCGGGGGCTGGGGAGGGGCCGGGCACGGCGGTGGGTGGGTTTGACCCTCATTTGCTGCAGGCGGGCGGCGGAGGAGGGGGGCAGTGGGCGGAGGCGGGGGCTGGGAGGAGGCGCCGCGAGGGGTGGAGCGCGCGGCGGAGCCTGCTCTCGGAGTTTTGACAGTACCGGAGCTGAAATTGTCAGCGGCGGCAAGCGCTGGAAAGTTGAGAGGAGCTCGTGGCCCCAGAACAAAGCTTGAGAAAAGTAAACAGGCGGCTGGTGCCGGCGAGCCTCCCTCCTTCGCTCTCCCCCTCAGCCTCCTTCCCGCCCTTGCCCTGCTGTTTCCTTCCAGCAGCTCCGGGGGGAGGAGGGGAATGGGCTTGCTCTCTCTCCGGCGATTACTAACTTTTGCATCGCCCCTGTTTTGTCTTTCTCTCCCTGTCCCCTTCCCGCCCTCTGCAGACCATGGTGAATCCGGGCAGCAGCTCGCAGCCGCCCCCGGTGACGGCCGGCTCCCTCTCCTGGAAGCGGTGCGCAGGCTGCGGGGGCAAGATTGCGGACCGCTTTCTGCTCTATGCCATGGACAGCTACTGGCACAGCCGGTGCCTCAAGTGTTCCTGCTGCCAGGCGCAGCTGGGCGACATCGGCACGTCCTGTTACACCAAAAGCGGCATGATCCTTTGCAGAAATGACTACATTAGGTAAGACTTCGCTGCCTTTCCTGGGGATGGGCGAGCAGAGCAATGGCAAGGCCAAAGGTTAACAGGGTTGTGAGGAAAGGAGCAGACACCTATGGCAATACATTGCAGCCTTCACCTCAAAAATCTTTTAGTTGGCGGAATTTAAAGGGTTCAGGAAGCATGTTGTTAAGTCTTCCAATATCTGATGGCAAATTAATGGCAAATGCCATACTAAGTAAAGACCATCTGGTGGGACTGGGTCATTAGATGCACAAAGGTTGAGCACCCTCTGGTCGCAGAGTTTAAGTGGTCAGCCTCTACTGGACTACAGGCTAAAAGCAAACATCTCAAGTGGTAGTTAAGGTGCGTTCTTAAAACAAGGTGGGAACTCACAGAGGAACTCGGAGACAAAGGTTGACTTAAAAATACAAGTGTAGTTAGTGAGAAATGATTTGTCTGTAGTGATGGCTTATTACGATATTTACATGAGCATTTTTAAACTTTCTTGAGTGGAAAGCTGTGATTCATTCTTTGTGCTCCTTGAGAAAAATGCTAATTATCCATCAGTTTAAAGACTTGTAATTCTTCTTATAGAGAAAAAAAGCCCCAAGAAATAAAATCTAGTGATAATGTTTCTCTTCATACTGTTACTCGGAGGCTTGCAATAATTCAGTTAGTGTGTGGTTTGCGATGTAGAATTTGCAGTTTTTTTCAGTGGAAGTATGTTCAGGTTTTGGGTTTTTTGTTGTCGTTTGTATCACTGCCCTTGATCCTCAAAAGAGATTTAGAAAAAGAGGCTATAGAATTATACTAATCTTGCATTTTAAAGCAATGTATAGGAACATTCATATGTCCATGTAAGCAGTCTTTTCCAACAAGTTGCAGTGCAATTAATGGAAAGAATTCAGGAGGTCAGGTGCCTATAGGATCTTTTCAGGTGAACTCAAGCTACTTAAACTCATTAATTTGAAAGGAGGCATTTGAAGGATTACACATTTAATTTGAGTAAATGGTTTGATAGACTGATGCACATGAATGCTTCTAGGAGGTGTTCTGTTTCAACATCCAGTAATTAAAAAAAAAAAAAAAAAACCCACACGCACACAGTTGATACTAGAAAACCGCACACTTTTAAGAAGAATTTCATCCTTTGTAAATTTGTCCTAAACCTTTGTCTTTGAAGTGATTAGTAGAAAATTTTCTTCTTTCTTCAGCGTGGGTAAATCAGTGGATGAGATATTTTGTTCAAAGTTTAGCTCCATTGTGATTCGCCTTATTCTGCGCCTAACATTGCAGAAGATGCCAGTGTAGTTCAGAGCTGAGTGTGGATACGTTTACCCCAGTGATATCATTAGTTGTAAGATGATGGAGTAAAAGGACATTTAGTTATTTTGATAATGCAACCTGTGTCCACTCTGCTGGCATCCTCAATCAGTCAAGCAAAAGAAATATAGGAAGGGAGAGGGCTTTTATTTTTAAATTAAGATGGCAGCATTAATTTCACTAAGTGTTCTTTTAGAGGTAAATGTTGGAAAATCAGCGGGAACGTGGGTGTAATGTTTTCTGGTCCTCCTTCCAAGTAATGCCATGAGCTTTGACAGTATTGTAATTAAATAGAAAGCAAAACTGTGGTAAGAAAGGAGTGTGGCTTGAAGTGGAAAAATTGACAGTGCTGTTAAGATTCCGTGAATGGTACAGATTCATCTCTTCTCCAAGTGCCTTCAAAAAAAAAAAAAAAAAAAAAAACAAAACCCAAAAAACCCCTCGCTTCTGATTACAACTAATTAAAAAGAAGATGGGTCCACTTGTATTCCCCCAGGACAAGTTCAGGCAAGTGGCTTCCTGGGAATTGTGTCCATTCTTTTCTCTATTCTTGGGGCCAAATGTAAATGGCCTTTTGGTGTTTTCCTGTGCCCTAATGGAGCAATGGAGGATGTGTACCCAGCCCTGAGCCTTAATTAATCGGATCTACGTTCTTCCTTTTTTCCCCTCTGAATCTGGAAACTGGAGCCAGGCTCGCCCTTGAACTACATGCTACCCCGAGGACCTTAGATCTTTCTAGGAGAGATGAGTTCTAGCTCAGTACCAAATTGATGGCCTCATAGTTTGCTCAGGGTTCACCAGCAGCTGTGAGCCCCCCTTCCCCTCCAATTTAAGAGATTACTGAAGTCTTCCTTCAGTGTTCCTCTCAGCCCATCAAGATGCCCAGAGGGTGGGAAGGTGGGAAGACGCAGACGTTCCTGTTCTTCTCAGCTACCCGCTCCCCAGTGTCCCTCAAGTCCACTTGTTGGAGGAGCTTTCAATGCCGCAGGGATCGCTGCAGAGGAGTGGAGTAATCTGCTCGCCCGCCGCCAGGTGAAGGGGACCCCTTGGTCCGACTGAGACCACATAGCGATTTACTGAGGGGCTTTTAAACTGTCTTGACTTTGAGGTGGTGATTTTTTGAAAACAACCAAGGTCTTGCTGAAAAGCTGCGGGAGAGCTGGGAAAGGCCTGCGGGAAAGGCCGGCCTGAGCGCGGAGGAGGGGGCTGCAAGAGGAGGGGGCGCTTTCACCAGTCCCCTCCCCCTCCGCGGCCAAGTGTCGATGGGCAGAGCTGGGCTTCTGCCTCCTCGCCCTCCAAGATTTCAGATAAAGCGGCTGCCTTGCTGCAGCGAATCCGCACAATTAAAAGCTTTAATTAGTGGCTCCTCCATTTTCTTAGTTCTGATGGGCTTTATCTAATGAGATCTGGTCTCTGGCTTAGATCTGCTCCGAATGACGTGTCCGCAATGAATGAGAGCTGCGTCGCAAACAAAACATTTAATTAACAAAATTGGCCTCTAAGAGAGGGAGGGAAAGAATGAAGGGGGGGTTGTAGAGCGGAGGGGGAGGGTGAATCTTAAAGGGACCAACGCCTGCCTGGCCCCCCCATCTTACAAAAGTGGGGGAACCTTGGGACTGCCCCCTCCCCCATCCCCGGCTCCCGAGCCCTCAGCTCCACCCAAGCGCCCCAAGTAGCTTCGGAAACTCCGTTTCTCTTCCTCGAACCCTCTTTCCTCCACCCCCCCCCACCTCGGGCCCGAAGACTGGCGCGGAAAGTGCAGCGAGAGGAGGAAGTTCGGAGACCGACGGGTGGGGCTCCAGGTCCTGGGAGGGCGAGGAAACGCGCCGGAAGCCCGGGTGGCGGTCGTCGGCGGGCCCTTGCTCGCTCAGCGGCCCGCGCCCGGGCCGGCGCCGCCCGAGGCCGCACCCAGAGCGCCCAGCCGGCGGGCGGTCTCGGGCCCGCGAGGGGGCGAGCGCAGGGCGGGAGCCCGGCGAGCGGGTCGCGCTTTCTTTCCCCGGGCTGGGCTCGGGCGGTTCACGTGGCGCCCGCAGCCGCAGTGAGCCCGGAGCGGTCGGGGGCGGTGGCTTGGGGCGAGGGTGGGGAGAATTGGTAGTTGGTGGTGGAGGGTGTGTTTGGGGAGGGGGTGGCGTTAGGAATGGAGGCGCCGCCAGACAGCGAGTTCATTTCCCTGGTAATCAACAGCAAGCTGCTATATTCAGAGAATGCTGTCCCTTTAATTGAACAGGCTAGGTAATTAAATGGCACTTTTCCAATAGGACGTGCTAGGTAAATCTAATAGTTGGTTATTTAATATCACTTTGAAGTCTGCCCACTCAAGCACAATGACAGCACAGGAGCATGTGAACTATTAGCTAGGAAGAAAAAAAAAAAAAACCCAGGATCTCAAAAATTAATTAAATCGCATGCAATTTAGGGGGAACGTTTATCTTGATTTGTCATAACAGAATTAATTCAAGGCCTCCAATTCACTTGGGGGCAGATCTGTTACTCTGAATTAACCAAGCGTAATTTGGCTGATTTTTTTTTTTCTCCCTCCCCTCTCTAATGCAGCAGTTGCGATTATGCACAGCCCCCCTCTTAAGTATCAATAGCTTCTGGTGCTTTTAAGGTGCCTGGTCTCTAGTTATTCCGAAGTACCTTTAATGGACTTGGCTCCAGGCGTAATTTCTGGGTTGCATTTCTTTGTTACATTTAATATAGCTAGTGCAGAATTTAGATTAAATATAGGAACCTGCTGGAAAACCAATTGCTTCTGGATCAGTAGCTGTGGATGTGCTTTTTTCTCCTTAGATAGGTTGCTGATATTTACTTGCAGGTACAAATGTATACCTTTCAGCCACACTCTTAGAAACGTGCCTCTCCTTGCCCAAAAGCAGTTTAGAAAACACAGCCAGGTAGCGTTTCATATTGCGTGTATTTTGCTTGAAGTAATAATGGAGTTGAAA